CCCGCCATTCCTTTCTTCTGCTGCTGTTGGATCTGATTGAATGCCTTGATTCAGCCACCAGCCAACGTGTCCACTTCTCTGCTTCACCTAATTTATACCATCTACTCTTTGATAGCCTGCGTTACAGTTTGCAGATCTCTACTCTAGTTTTATCTGAAGGCAGCTCTGCAAAATGATTTTGTCCTGAGTAGTCGTTTCCTTGTTTAAATCTGGGTGTTTGGTTCTTTCCTGATGACTTATAGCCTGGAGGATGGAATGAGAAGTCTATTTCAAGGATTTTGCAGTACGTTGCTTGTTCTGGTAGAGTCAAAGGCCACCAGATAATAAATGAAATTAATTGAACAGACTAAAAAGCTCTAGTCCTCAAAAGCATATTTACTGCAGCCTTGAAACCAAGCACTGTGATTGCTGAAGTTTCATATTCGTAGACCACAGTTCCAGTTTAGCCCCTGTGAAATGCACCACTAAAAGCATGCTAATCCCTCTGAGATTATCAGCCTTTTCAGTATCTTGGCTCATTTAGCACATCTAACCATTAAATGATAAAGGCACTTTAAACAGGGTTTTTTCACAGCATCTGAGCATTTGCATTTCTCCCTCCTCTGTTGTGCAAATGCGAGGAGGCACGCTTCGTTGTGGAAGAGGCCCCTTTCTGACCACTGTTTTCCCCAAACTGAGAAGATCTAGAACAACTCAGTTGGCTAAATTTTAGCCCTCAGGGGGCTGGTCTAGAGACCAGTTTGCTTTAGGCTGTTGTTGCTATTTCCAAACATTTCAGCTGCCACTCTACTTCCATGTGCCTCTGAGGCGGTTCACAACTGCTTGAAATACTCTGCTGAGGACTTAGCATCTTCATCTGCACGTCCGTTCTTGTGTGCAGGGAGCTGGGGCGAGCAACCACATCGGCTTAACCTGGAATGCTCTATTGCCCTTGCTACAGTGGTTTTTTTCTATCTTTCCAGTTTTTCTTACTGAAAAGCTGCTAGTGCTCGTTGCTATTTGTCAGTCACCGGCCCACCTAAGCAAACTCGCATTTCTGAGAGCTCCTGTGGAGTTTATTGTGCTTCTGGAAAAGGTCATGGGAGCCAGTGGGGTCATCCTGCTGCAACTATTTGGGCTGTACTGGGGCAGTTTGGGGAGATCTCAAAGGGATCTCTAGTTGTCTGATCTGAAGCATCATTCCAGGAACAAAAAAGACCCCAACAGAACAAACTAACAGTGCTGCACTTAGCACAGTCTTTCCCGATGAGGGACCCAAGGTGGTTATTTTAAAGCTGGACATACACAAGAGTCACTGGACCTGGGAGATCAAGGACCAGCAAAGGTTTCCATAACACTTTGAAAAACACCTTTCTAGAAGTATTTTCACTAAGAGCATCTAGTGTTTTCTTGTCTCTATTCCTGTTTTTGTTACTGTTTGTGCAAAGATGGCGCCTCTGATATAGTAGCATTGGTTCTCTGCTTAAAGGCATGAGATTAAATTTCCTTGTCAGCAGCTAGAGTTTACTCAAGAAGGTTCATTCTTGCAGGATTTTTGACCAGTCTACAACATCCCTGTAAACCTTGGGAGAGCGATCTGTGCTTTGGGATCTTTGCTGCACTGAGCTCAAAGGCCACAGTTACTCTTTTCACTTACCATTTTATCTGGCAATCTTTCAGCCGTGCGTTTCTGTACTGCCCTGCTCTGGTGGGAATAACGCTGTGGCTTGGGGCTGCGTTCACGCAGTCTCTAACTTGTAAGCAACGGACTGGTTACTTTTTCCACTGCTGCTAAAGGAGCAGCATTTCAGTAGCTGTTGGTAGCTGCCTCTGCTTTCTCTTTCTAGTGTTGGAAAGTGGGAGGTGTAGTCCTCAAACCAGCACCAGATACTTGTCTCCTTCTTCCCGTTGCGTCTGTGCTGCAAACCGCATGCAGCCAGAGAGAGACTGCAGCGTTATCTGAGCTACAAAGTCATTCTGTTGTCGAGCCTTTGGAGTGTCAAATTCGCTTTTAAAACCAAAGGCTGTGACATTCGCTAAAGAACAGCATGATTTCAAAGTCAGGAAGGTCTATTCTTAGCACATCAGTCAAAAAGGAAAAAAAAGTCTTTGTGGGGAAAAAAAAAAATTACCAAAATGAACTTTGTCAGAAATGATCAATTCATCTTCCATTCAGATTGACCTGGTCCTTGCTGCATGCCAGAGAACAAAATCTGATAACACAGAACAATAGATTAATATTGCCAGATCTCCTTGTAATTAATTTTCTTGGGTGTAGGTTTGGCAAAGAATAATTTATCTTCAAGGTGATTAAATCACTGGTAGCTTGGTTTGGTGTTTTTTTTTTTCTTTTTTTTTCTTTTTTAAGGAACATTTCTCCTTAGTTGAAGAACAGATGCTGATGAGTAACAGACACCTTTTGGGTATTTTATTCATGCTATTTGAATGCCTCTTCCTGCTAGACCAGTGCCTCCTTGACAGTGAAGACCGAGCACATCAGCACCCCGAGGGACACCGGGGCTGTGCTGCGTTTTGCCTGGAGTGCGGCCCCTCAGAACCCCCTCCTGCGCTGGAGGTTTGCTCACACCCCAGCCTTCAAACCTGTGATTCTTACACACCCCTAATTTGAGTTTTGCCTTTATTATTTCTCATTGGAAAACTTCAGTCTGAGTTCATAAAAAAGAAATAAATACATTCTATAGCCTGATCTTGAAACCTACGTGTACATTATAAAAGTTATGATTCTTGAACTAAATAGAGCTTCTAAAGCATTTATACTAATACATAACCTACAAATTATTTATTCTTCCCTTAAAAGAGAAAAATAATTTATTTGGCATACTAGAAATTTAGGAAAGATGTCTATTATTTCTTCAAAGCTGTGTCCTCTAAACTCTGCTTATAAGGGGCTGCTGCTGGTGGGCTCTTTGTGTTCGAGAACTGAGAGAGTGCAAAGAGCTTTTTCCAACCTCCTCGAAAAAGCCATGTAAATGTCTTTATGTCTTTAATTAGCTGGGGACAGAGTTGTAACTTGTCCTAAAACTTTCCTATTCCTGAAGAAGGGCTTCAATTCACTGGAGGATGATGCTGGAACAAGTGTGCTATCAAAGCAGATTCTTACCGTCCCTGTGTGCGTCCTGACCATCTCCAGAGAGACCGTCATTAACGTGCTTCTGTCTCGTTTGTTCTCTTTAGTATTCATGCAGTGATGATCATGTGAGAATTACTCACACTTCTGACTTGAGAAAACTTTCTTAGCCCAGAAATTCATCCAATATCAAGGGAATTAGAAATTCAAATGGGGGGAAATTATACACTGTGTGTGTCAATACAGCAAACCTTATAAAAGCTGCAATCAATCATATCAGCATCAAAGGTGGTGGTACATCTCCTTGTCACCAAGTGGGTCACAGTCCAACAAACAAAGGAGAAGGTGAATCAGAACAAGAACCTTCAGTAGCTGCCTGGAGAGAAGGACAGCCTCATCTGAAGGCACTGGCCTGGGGTCAGCTCTGGACCTTCCTTGCATCGTGATCCGTGCTTATGCACAGAGCGCGTTTGTTTATTTGTCTTGCCTGTCTGTGTGCTGCCGAGGCTGTGCTGTAAAGCAGGTTCTGTCTCTGGGTTTATGTGCTGTTTCAGCAGAACAAGTGCTTTCTCTCAAAGTCTTCAAGTATTTAAATTGGCTATTGCAGACTGTCCTCTTACCAAACCTCTCCGTGAGTGCTCCGGTCCTCCCCGTGCACCGACATCTAGCACATTCCTGTTGCAAGTTAAATCGAGATACGCCTGGGTGCAGCCTCACACTAGGCAAGTCGCTCTGCAAATCATTTAAATTCATTAAATGAATGTAATGATGCATACTGGTTTCCCACTGTCCGGCTGCTGACTGAACAGTGTGTGGTACAGAGTGGACTGTCATGACGATAGCTTTAGATTTTTTTTAGCGATATTATGTTGAACAACAAATCACATAAACAACTCTCCCCAGAATACCTCTCAGAATCGTTGTGGTTTGATGCTGCACATGTACAATGCCAAACCTAATGCAGGTGTGTGTAACAGCCAGCAGTGACTGCTGGAGGCTGCAGCTCGTTCCTGCGTGGCTCTGTCTCTGCTACTCTGCTTATGTGTTTGGACTGCCAAATTTTGTGGTTTTGTAGGTCTTGTATCTCAGCTCTCTGCTGTCAGCTCCCTGAGATGCAAGAAGTAGGCACGGCCCAGATGCTTGCCTGAAGCAGAAATAACACGTCTTTCTACTACTGTTCTCCATCAGGTCCCCTGAGTCTTGAATTTCTGGCAGACAGCATTCCGGAGGGAGAAAAACGCCCCAGACCTTTAGTTTGCAGTTGTTGTAAAAACCTGATTTTGGATTTGGTGTAACTTAGCAGACTGAAATAGAGATATAATAAATCTGTTACACTTTCTCAGTGAATCAGTAAGCTTATGGTGGTGAAAACTGTTTGAATTTTGGAACATTCAGTAATCCCCTGACGCTTCCAGGGGCTGGTGTGTATTCCCAGGGTTTTGCCGACGCTGGAGTCTGCAGCTCGGAGGGGGTGTGTGTACTGGTGAGTACGTGTTTCTGGATGGGCGTTTTCAAAATTCCGGAGGGAAAACGGGACCTAAGCAGGCAGAAAGATAAACAGCTCCTGTTGATGATTTAAGGGTCTATGAGTATATGTGTACATGTATTTCAGACTGGTATGTAGCAAAGGCGAGCAGTAAGAGCCCTGTTGCTTCTGATCTTTAGGATGTGCCAGTACGCGGCGCGTACCCTGGGCTAGCTCGCATCTGTACGGGTATCGGTGGGTAGAGCTGTGTGTGAAGGTGAGCAGGCGCGTGTGCAGGGGGCAGAGGTGCGTGCGGGCTGCCCTCTGCACTGCTCGGATGGGTCACTGGTGCCTCGCGAGCCCCGCGGTGACGAGCAGGGGCTGAGATTTCGGGGGGCTGCAGAGCTTTGGGAGGCGGTGCGGGACGGCTTACCTTCTGCGCTCTCCGCTTGTCGGCCCTCTGGTTCTGGTGGTAAATCCGGCTGAAGTTGGAAACAATGACTGGAACCGGCAGAGCAATGACCAGCACCCCGCTCAGGGAGCAAATGGAGCCAAATATCTTCCCAGCAATTGTCTTGGGCACCATGTCACCATAACTAGAAGGGGGGGAATAAAAAAAAAAAAAAGGGAAGCCCCTCCTTCAGACAAGTGCAACAGCACCAAAAGCCTTTCCAGGTTCCCTGAGTGTGCAGCAACGTGAGTGTCCAGGTCAGACACTACAGCCTGGACATCCACCGTGCAAGCAACGATTCGTGTGGTGCGGTCAGCCTGGAGATGACAACTTGCACCACGCTTTAGCAATGAATTAAGCTAAACCAACGAAAGGCACTTCCATTGCAGAATACGTCTGCCAGTTCAGGCAGCTGCTGAGTACGGTCACTGTGCATCCTCGCCCGTTTAGTACCTACCTCGCCATGTAGATGAGCTCTAGCAAACTGAGAACTGCATGTCTGCTTGTGAGCAGGTTCATATGCTTTCATTCCCTTGTATCCAGGTGCAAATGAGGCTCGATTTACACTTGCGATTCCAAACCCAGCAGTTTCCTTGCCATCTGTACAGTCAGAGATTTGGGGTTTGTTCAAAGTCTGGATTCACTAAAGGGTGTGAATTCTCAGGAATATGAGACCAGCTGAAAAATATTCAGACAGACCTCTGCACTGGGTTTGACCCAGCAATCTTCATTAACTGTTGTAATTTATATGTTAAATAGTATCAGCAGAGTCTGAGATGGAATAATTCATTTTGTGCAGATGGAGGATGGTGCTGGTTTAGGTTCTGTGGATTCCACACAACAGAAATCACAACACTGTTGAGTGCGTGTTTGCCATTTGTGTTTTTACTCTGCATCTTGGAAAAGCTTTCTGCAGCAGTTCTATACTTAAGCTTTAATACCATCCTTCTGCAAAGAAAACCGATGCGTTCTGCCCTGTGGCTGCTCACTGGTGCCGTAAGAAGGAGCACGGCTGGAATTCCCTCATGGAACATACAGTACTGAAACTGCCCTGGGACTTGGGCACAGGACAGGCTGTGCTGGCTCGCTGAATGCTGCCCTGCAGCGAAGGTAACGGGGAGTTTGAAATCTGATTTACACTGTGGCCTGACACGATCCCCGTGTTGCATCCCAGGTGACTGGACCTCTGAATTCCAACTGACTGCGCCATCGCTCACGATTCCCGCGTCTCGCAGAACAACTCCTGATACCCAGCGGGCAGCAGATGTTGGCAGTGCCAACGCTGTGCCCCGCGTTCAGCAGACGTGGTGGTGACCTCCCTAGGAGGCCCTTCCTCCCCCACAGTTTGCCCTCCAGAAGTGATTTCAGTGCTTTCTTCTGCAAATTGTTGATAGGCAAATAAAATCGCACCCAGAAGGCTGGGTGGGGATTGCAGTGTGTTCTGATCACGTAACAAAAAGCTCGTTTGGAGCTAATGCCCCTCGAGTATGACCGGGATGTGATTAGCACAGCCACTGACTGAATTCACAGGCTGTGTTTCAGTGAGCCATTTGTTACATGTTTGCGTGCAAATGTGTATTATTATCAATATTCACTGAAGTAATTTTCATCTGGAGGAAAGGGAAAAGCAAGCAGCCAAATAACAACAGATTGAAAAAAAAAAAAATCTCTGATATTGGAATGACTGTGTCCAATCCACCAGGGTACAGGAATTCCCAAAGTACCTCTGTGGCTCAGGAGGACACGTTGGACTCTGAAATGCCACTACAGGTGGGTTTATGTGACCTGCCTACACCCTGGAGTAAAAGAGAGGACCTAGGCACTGCAACCTGCTGGAGTTTTGCAGTAGACAGGGAAAGGATGCTAAGATTAAAATCGGGGCTGAAGGAAGACATTCCTTGTTTCAGGGTGCTTGAAATCTGGACAGGCCCCTAGCTGCTGTCAGATGGTGTTTAGTATTTCCATGCTCTTCTTTGAGATGTTCTGGTGTTTGATGCAACAAATACTGAAAAGCAATATGGTCTAGAGTTGAGGCTTTACTTTTACCTTTGATGTCAGGATATGACTAAGAAAGAGCTTTTGTGGGAATAGAGTTGAGCTGAGAATAAATTACATCCAAGGTGAAACCCAAATATTTAAAACCACCCTTCCACCCATCCAAGAACTCGTTGGTACGAGGGTCTCTGAACTGGAGCAGAGCTCATTACACATTAACTGCTTGCTCCTGGGAGCCTTTTTGCTCTCCTGCTAAGCTTGGTGGCTAGAGGGTATGGCCAAACAGCTGGATAAAACATCATTGCTGGGCTATCACATTCATTTGTGTCCAGGAGAGGCTCGGTTTCAGGCTGACAGCTTTTCTTTTTTTCACTTTTTTTGGTTTTTTGAGTGGTTTTTTTTTGTGTGTGTGTGCAAATGCTTCAGGCTTCACTAGCTAAAGGCTTAATTATCCCAAGCAGAACCCTTCTCTTGCCTTCACCTGCATTAAAACCCCTCAGAATACCTCAAATCAGTAAAATGCTATTTATTAACTTTTTAGCTGCTGCTTTATGCGAAGATAGTTTAAAAGCTCTTGCTGAGTGACAGGTTCTTCTGCCTTATTTAACACTGTTAGAAAAAAATTTTTTCTTTTCTTCTGCCACCCCTTAATATAATAAGGCTGAAAATTAATCATATGCCTCAAACATGATCTCAGTGACCTGGAGCACAGAGAGAAAGTCCTTCTGTGCATTTGTAGAAAGTTTAATAAGAAGTGTCTGGCTCCCAGTCTGTCTTGCAGAGTTTTGTCCTTACACGCAGACTGAGAGTCACCTCATTACTTGGGACTTCAGAGAAGGTGCTTTACAGCACCATCAGGGAAGATCAAACTGTCTTGGAGGATGGAGGATTTTGCTGGGGAGATGTAGAACTTCATTAGCAAAACTGTTATGAGAGGTACTGCCATGAGAACTTTTGCACTGGCTGGAGCCCGCTGCACAGGAATGAGACCTAAAACTTGCGCTGGTGCCAGTGACTTGGTATCTGCAGAGCGAACGCTGCTGCAGCCGTCCCGCTGGGTGCGGAGGGCACGTCCTGCCCCCGCGGCCGTGGTCTCTGGCTTTACGGGGCTGACCTGCCACGCGAGTGATACTGATGGTTGGAAACGGCTTTTTGATCAGAGTGAAACCCAGCTCTGCTTCAGCAGAACTTGATCTAGATCCCCTTGCACCTAATGAGGAGCCTCCCTTTGACTGTGATGGGCTTTGGAATGAACCTGTAAAGTTGCCGTTGTTCTGTATTGACATACGCAGCTATTGCAATATTCATTGCTGGAGCGACTATTTTTGTCCTGATGGTACCATGAGGTACTAATGGCCACATGGCATATTTATAACAGATACAGTGCCAAATAATCTCAAATATTGGATTTCAGTTAGTACTAATTGGACTTTTTAAACCCAAAACTTCTTTTCCCCAGACTGGAATGAGAGAACTCAACTTTCCCATTAATTTGTTTAGTAAAAGGCAACTTGTTACCTAAAAAATTTCTTCTACACAAAGTGCATTTTAAGTAATTCGTCAATAATCTCATTAGAGCAGCAAGAAGATAGAAGAGTTAGGTAGTGATTAACATTCAGGGGGTCTAACAGGATGGTTGAGCCCGTAAGAAAACAACGAGAGACTGCGAGTTCAGTAGACTTCCAGCGTGACCTCTAATAAACCATTTCAGCTTTCTGTGCCTCAGTTGCCCATTTGTGAAATGGCAATTGGTTACTTCTTCTGTGCCTGCTTGGCTGAGGTGCCAGGTTCTTCAGGAGCTGCCCCCTGTGCTGCACAGACCCGGCAGCGACCCCGAAGTCCTACAGATGCCTGCACTGCAAGGCAGCTGTGTGGAAATCTGGAGTAAACGCAGCTCCAGGCTTGGCCGGAGACACGCGCTTTGCATCGGCTAGGTTAGCTGTGGAACATGCCTAGGGATAAACATCTTGTCTGTTTGTTTTGTCAGGAACCCGGCTGGATGGCGACAGATTCAGCCAGTTTTCAGTTGCTGATTTCATGGCTGTGAAAGGTGAGACACGCGTCTGCCAGACGAGCACCGGCGTGCGGGCGTTGGGAGGAGCTGCCCTTGCTGCCGCGGTCCCTGCGCCCTCGCTCAGCACGCTGGTAGTGATTCCGGAGCCTCTAGACATGTATCCCGTGTTGCCAGTGACGTAGCTTTGGTTTGTCCCCTTTTCTTCTCCTGGTGTCCCTTCAAAGCCCCACTTCCTACCCAGTAAACGCTGAACGCTGAGACTCCTGCTCCCTGTACGCAGAACGTAAAGTTCAAGTAAAGCCTTAAATGGGCAAAACAGAAAGAAAAAAACCAAAATAGGAAATTACTTTTAAGTGGTCACTCTTTAGAGTGGAAAAGACTGTGGATGCAAAATTCTAACTTTTTTTTTATTTGTGGTGTGACTTCTGTGTTCTTTGGCTATAAAAGGGGTCGTATGTCACTCGCTCTAATTAGCAGCTATTAGCCTTGACAGCATAATGTGCTGTTGTTTTTCTCTGTCAGTACAGAAAATGTTATCAAATAGAGGTCACTGCTTCTGAGTTCTGGTTTTAGCCGTAGAGGTGTCTGGACTCTGCTTAGCTCCCCAGCTGGAGACAGCAATAAATAAGGTGCTGAACAGCTCATCAAATGACTCGCTCTAAAAATAGCCTCTCAGCAGCATCTCTGATGATCCTGTCTCTCTGTGCAACGTTCGCAGCCCTAGAACTAGGGAATTGTAGTCAAAAAGCTGGAAGATCCTATGGCAAGGGACGTGGGAAGGTGCTGCAGCAATAGCAACGCCGTGGGGACAGTGAGACGGCTTTTCAGAGGATGCTCAGTGTTTGAGCGGTCAAGGGACATTTCTTGCCCAGTGGTGCGAAACTTTGTGACTTTCACATGCAGCCAATGAAAGCTGAAATATCTCATGGAGGATGGAGACAGAAACAACGCTGCTTCAAATGATTTAGCATTTCTGCCTCCTACTGACATTAACAGCTCTTTGAGAGTTCCTTTATCTCTCTAACATTTTGCCCGGCACAGTAGAGTCAAAAGAAGACTTCACTCCAGCCTGTAAGCTTCTACTTTTAGGACAATAAGGACAGAATAATAACATTATGTGCTGTACAATAGAATAT